ACCCCACCCCCCCACCCCACCCCAAGACTTTGGGTTTTAGTCGCCCTCTGGTCTGGGGGAAATTCCATTATCTTTTCATTCCATTTTTCCATGAGCTTTTTGAGGCCCCCTTCAGCATGCTGCTATTAGTCCCTGTCAACTCCGCCCCAGCTCATGGCAGCCTGCGAATAACGGGAGCATTGTCATCTTCATGGTCATCGGCTTGAGCCCATTGCTGCGGCTGGCGCGTCGGTCCATCTCAGTCAGGGCTGGCCACTCCATTTCTGTGACCCTTTGTCAAACCCGCTGCCCTTTATTATCAACTGGTCTTCCCTGGGGCCACGTTCCAAGTGCCCAAGCCCAAGGAGGGGCATCTTCACTTCTAAGCCACATGATGGTTGCATTTTTCCTAAGACATATTTGTCCTTGCAACCCACCCTATACCGGTCAGTCTTCACCAATAAGGTTCAAATGCATCAGGTCACCCGCCTTCCTTTCTGTCATCCATCCACATCGTCACGCGTGTGAGGCAAATGGAAAGACCATGGTTGGGTCAGGCATAGATGCGTCCATCCAGAAAGAAGGTTGGGGAATGTAATCTTTGAGCCCCTGACAGTCATGTATATGCACAGCTAAAATCTGGAATTCTTTTTTTATCATTTTATTGGAGGCTCTTAACAGCTCTTATCACAATTCATACATCCATCCATTGTGTCAAGCATATTTGTACATATGTTGCCATCATCGTTTTCAAAACATTTTCTTTCTACTTGAGCCCTTGGTATCAGTTCCTCATTATCCCCCTCCCTCTCCCACCATCCCTCCCTCATGAACCCTTGATAATTTATAAATTATTATTTTTTCATGTCTTACACTGACTGATGTCTCCCTTTGCCCACTTTTCTGTTGTCCAGCCCCCTGGGAGGTATTTATATGTAGATCATTGTGATCAGTTCCCCCTCTCTCCTCCCACCTTACCCTTACCCTCCTCGTATCATTACTCTCATTATTGGTCCTGAGGGGGTTATCTGTCCTGGGTTCCCTGTGTTTCCAGCTCTTATCTGTACCAGTGTACATGCTCTGGTTAAAATCTGGAATTCAGTTACTGAGGAATAAGAAGAGAGTCGGCACTTTCCACCATATTTACCACATTACATGTAAGATATTCCGGCCCTACAGTCCGAGCTAAGCATGTGCCCTTCTAATCCCTAAGTCTGCCCGAGTTTAAGCAGGAGAACATTTGTATTTGAGGTGAGGCCAGGGGAGCAGACCTGAGCTGTACAAGTTGGTTAATCATATTCATGGCCAAATGAAGATCTTTACATTATACACCACCCTCAGCCCTACTCACACAGCCCTCTCTAATCAGAAGCACCAAGTCTAATGAATCAAATACACGGTCCTTAGAAAGATATGTATGGAGTGATATTTTATACATTTCACTTAAATGAGAGATGTCTTTCTGTATATAAATCTACTATATATATATCACTCCATGGGGTTTTCAACTGCATCATTAAATTGCTCACTGTGTTTCCCCTGCATTTAAGATCCCCGCCCTCCTCCTGTGGAGACCTTGGCTGCTTCTACCTGCCTTCTTCGGTGAACATCCTACCTATGTCCCTGTAGAGACCTGAGCTAGCCTCCTTTGGTACATATTATATATAATACATCTTAAGGGCTGACATCCTCACTTGGCCAAGTACTTACTACCAGATTCTCTCTAAAATGACAGCTCAACAACAACAACTACAACAACACTGCAGCAATTCATTCCCACTTGGAATTATCTGATGCTATTCGGGAATCAACTCTAGCAATGAGTTCTGAGATTCGGGAGAACACACCCTCCTATCAGTGGGTACCTGTCAGCTTCTTTACTGGTTCCTGCTTGACTTAATGTCGGGAAAGCCCCAGATTCCTCTCCACTTACCCTCCATGGAGACCCCCATCCATGCTCCTGGCTTTCAATGCAACCTCCAAGCCCCAAGATATACATCTCCAGTCTGTTGCTCTCCCCCTGAATCCTATGCTCAGAGTACTTACCTGCATTCCGATCTTCCCTCAGCTAGATTATGGGCATCTCAAGCTCAGCGTGTGCAGAAGTGAACTGCCATCCCCTTCTCAGGATACAGTAACTTTATTCTCCTGGTTGCTCTAACAGCAACGACAACAAAAAAGGGAACAACCTTATAGTTATCCTTGACTCTTTCCTCCCTGATCTCTAT